AGTTTAAGTACCCACCCTATCCTCCAGAAGATGAGCATGGTGAGATCAGTTATAGAATAGTTTGTGTTGCATCTTTTGCATATCTGAGATGTACTATGTGTATTTTAAACCCCTCCACTCAAAAACTCACAAGTCATTTTACTGACAATCTTAACCATCCTTTAAGATTATACTTAAACACAGGTTTTTTTTTTGTAAAGTATCTCCCCAGCTTACCTATATTTCAGGGCACAGACTGAGTGCTAAAAGACATGAAATATGATAAAGACATGGGTTTATAATGCATATCTTCACCGTATTCTATACTGTTCCATGACAACTTAGGCTGAACCACATACCAAGTGGGCTGTCAAATGCATGAGCCATTTCCACTGATAAGGACTCCAGCTGGTTGGAGTGGAGCAGGCACTCTGCTAAGCTCTGATGCCTCAGATAATCTCTTGCTGTTTGTAACTGTCGAAGGGCCAAAGACTGATTTACTAGCAGTTACATCATTTCCAAAGGCACGCGATTTCTCAGACCCTTCACCACTCAGGAATGGAACTCTCCTCCACGCAGGTGTCTGGGATATCAGTGTCCACATGTTCCAAGAGTACCCGGTGCATGATCGAGCAATAAAATGGAGTCATCTGTTATGTCCCCACCAGTTCCCCCAGGTGCTTTTTCAAATTCCCCACACTTGCCACTGCTGATAGATATTGCTGCCAAAGTAAATCCCATGCCTTACACTGACCCACAGCTGGCCAATGAGAAGTCACCACACCATTATCCCTGTCATTGCCTGTATTATCTGCAGAGAACACGGGCTCAATGCAGCCAGCTGTCAGCCCAATGTGCCACCATGGGACTAGTCATCGATCTGAGGCTTCCTGTGCAGAAAGCCTTCAAGTCTAATCCAAATCCTTCAGCCTGCGGTGTCATGCACCACCATTTGTCCTATAAATACTGTGGATGTAGGCTGTACTCTGGATTAGTAAGATTTGATAAGTGATCTTATTTTAATAATGGCTGCTTACCCACTTTCAAGGTCAGCTAATAAACTCAAGAATTAAGGATGAGACAAAATAACTTTTTGTTCTAGGGGGGACTGGCTGACACCTGGCAGGATATTTAGCATCCTTTTAGTGGGGACCCCTCCCACAAAATGCCTCCCCGCCACATATATACACACATTTCCAAACACCCACTGGGTGGGTAGTGGCATTACCCAGGTCTTATACATGCTGTTGCTTGTCATTGTTCTGGTGGCGCATGGTGTTGTGAGCGAACCCCTCAATATTAGCCCGTCACAACAGTGGCCCTGACAGTTGCCACACTCTATCCATAGTCTTTTTTATGATTGTCTCGGGTGCTCCCCACAAATTTCTTGGACTTCTCCATTCATTTACTCAGAAAAACTGGTGTCTGGAGCTCCACATTTAATAACATAAAGAACGTTATGTGCAGAAGAGTGACTTCCTTTCACCTCCACCTCTACTCAGGATGCAGGCAAGAGGATATACATGTGTAGCTGAGCAAGAGAAGCTTAGATTTTATGTAAAGCAGAAATAATACCTCGGTGATTATGAATGTGAGCAGGTTCCAGAGAGAGGCTGTGTCCCAGAGCCACTACATGACTTTCCCTTTGGCAACTAAGCTAAGAAAAAGTTCTGTAAAAATAGGCAGCTGTGCAGCTGCTTCTTTCCATAACGGCGCCCAAGCATGTGCTCCGCCTGACACTTACAACGCTGTGTCTGCTTCAACCCCGCTCATCTGAGCCTTCTCTCCAGTGTTCCTATCTCTCAACTCCAAATCTCTGTTCCTGATGCATTCACCCTGGTGACATTATATAAACGGTTACAAGTCTGAAGAAATTCGACTCTTCGGGAAATCCTTCAAGTGCCTAGTGATCTGCCACTCTGAGTCAATCTCTCTGTTTCCACCGTCAATCTCTCTCATTGTTTGTGCCTCTACTGTAACATTCATGTCTACCTAATTCTTCGTATATATTTGCCATAGCCACCTGTCCCCAAATTACAAGCTCACAGGAGCAGGAATAATGTTTTAAACATCTCCTTGCTGTACCAAAAACAGGACTCTGCATAGAGTTGTTCAACCAATGTTTGCTGAATGAATGAATGAATGAATGAGTGAATGAATATATATTTGGGCTGCTGGACACACATGACTCTGTATTGAAATAAAGAAACAGAATTTAAAAATGAGGATTAACTTACATTTGAGCATTGAAAGTTAGAGATGGTTAAAAGTTTAGCACCATGAGAAAAAAGAAATAATATCTTCTTACCTGGAGCCAAGGCTAAGAATGCAACTATTTGTGCTGATCAACACAGAGCTGAGTAGTGAATAAATGGCTGTCACTGACTTCCACTTCAAAGACGATGAGAACCAAATCTATAAGGCAAATTGCATTCCATTGCTGATAAATGTCATAACTAGTTCTTCAGAATTTCAGCTCAAAGCCGCCTTCCTATTATTCCGAAATGAAAATACTTAATAAAAGACTAGATGCCATTTCAGTTTCTGCTGACCCCCAAAGGCAGTTCTGAGCAATTTGCCTTTTCTGTTCCATTTATTTAATAAATTCCCAAGGTCATGATAATGAAAACCAGCCCTTGCTAGTGTTCTGAAAGGCAAACTTAATTAGAATAGTGACCGCTACTGGAGTATCTCAACTGGCAAAACAAACAATAAGCAAAATTCCACAATCTTTGCATGAGGTTGAAATAAGGAATTTCTTTTTTATTGGATACTAAATGTCCTAGCACGTTTCTGACAGAAGCATAGATAGAAAATAGAAACGAACACCTTATTGGGAATGTTTCCCAGCTTGCACTAATCTTGACTACAGCAACAACAAATTGCTTAACAATCAAAGCACACCACATCATCTGTGCAAATGACACGATAAGTGAGAGTGCCGTTCCCAAGGAAGCAAAACATATGCAAACAGGTCCCATGCACCGAGTGTCCTGGCTGAGTACAGATGGAGGCTGCTAGAGCTGCAATATCCTTTTCCTGGGCAAAAAAAGCCAGTTCTTACCCCTTGCTTTCCAGTAGAGGTCTCCACTCTGCCCTCCATCTCATCAGGCCCATAGCTGTACTGCCAGTAAGGTTTCCTTCCAGCGTCCCCTTCATTTTCTACTTTTATGACATTTCATTATCTCCCTTTACAGCCATTATAAGTAAGATCTGAACTGTGTCCAACTGAGTGCATTAAAACAGGCCATTACTGGGAGATAAGATAGTGGAGAGAAAGTCAGAGAGATAGCAGACATGGTGATATTTCGTCTTCCCAGGAGGAATGAGTACAAACCCCTGTATCGACCTAGGTGACGTAATCAAGGAAGAGCCCGGAAACTGTAAGCATTCATTTGCAGAGTCTTGCCAAGAAACCGCTTTCCACCTGCATAACGAGTGGCTAAATTTGAAGGAATGCAGCCAGCTTAATAGCTAAAATAATATTATTTACAAAATAAGAGAGAATAACACCCCTTGATATGTTTTGTTGAAAGTGTGCCATTGTGGTTTGTAGAAAGCATTAGAAGATGTGAGAGGGACTTTGAAGATGGGAGGGTGGGAAAGCGGACCATCGGGTGGTTGGCGGGCATGAGGTGGGGTATTGGGACCTCTACAACTTTGCTGTGGGAGACCTGACATAGGATGAAAAGCTAAATCCTCCTCCATGCTCAGGAGAGTTTTCTTAGGTCTGCCCAGGGGCTTAGGGTCAGCTCAGTTCTGGCAAACTAAGCTTAGTTTCAGAACCTTTTCTCAACTGGCACCAATGATGCTCAGATGTCATGACTAACAGCTTCCTAGACCACTTTTTCTTTCTCAAAAAGAGAGGTTCTTTTGTGTGATAAAATACAGATATCAAATGATAGTGCAGCTTTAACAGACAGCTGAAGACCCTACTGCATTTGGAGGAAATGACCAAAACCTAAACAAAACAGATTTTTTTTCCTTTTCCCACCTACTCTCCACTCCCCACCAGCAAATTATCTTTTTTTTTTTTTTCCCCCCCCAAAGTCATAAGAGGCACAAACAGGTAGCAAAAAGTCGTGGGTGAAGTGTCTCCCGCCAAGTGCTTTTTTACATCCTGGTGAGTGATCTTCCCTTCCTTCAGGTGATGACGGTTGGGCCCCTCCGGCCGGTTCTCTCATGTATCTGGGATATTTTCAGCGCGATGGCTATGAGAGGGCTCAGTACTGCCTGGAAAAGGAGGAAGAAAGTCTGTGAACAACTAGAGTCAGTCACAGGAGGGCCATTGTGATGGGTTTCTAGTGCAAACATCTGGATTCTATCTCCATTTGCGACTTACAGGCAGTGTCATCATGAGCAGGACACTTGTTCTCTGGACCTTGGTTTCCTGTTCCATAACAGGAGATTGGAGTGGGCAGAGTGAGGAGAGTAGGAGGAGATGATCTCCAAAGTCTTATCCAACTCTCAAAAAACAGTGATCTAAGATGGGAGACAGCACAACCCAACTTCCACTGGAGTATTTTATGAACAGACCTTTGTGAATTAGGGAAGTTCCTCTGTTATCATATCTCCCCTACATGTTTACGCACGCCCCCATACACACACATGAACTTGAGGAAAACCACTCATTCTTCATTTTAAGACCATGGGCCTGAAGAACCTATCATCTTGAGGTACCAGAGAAGACAGAAGGTAGTGCTGCAGAAATAACTGCTCATTTCTTCACATCAAATAACTCGGTGACTCATGAGCCATCGCAGTGTGCCCTGGAAGGAAGTGGGGTGGTTTAGAGGCCTAAGGAATAGATTCTTGGAATGATGAAGGACATGATGAGGAGTAAGGATCATTTCTTGGCCTTGAGTTATTTATCATTTCATAGGACTAAGGCACTGTTTTCCAAAGTGTGGAGCGCACGCCTCTCAAGATGACTTTAGATGGTACAGATTATTTTAGATGATACATGGACATGGTATTACTTACAAAACAGTAAGAAAGTTACTCTGTTTTCCATTCTCATCAAGGAGAACTTTGCTGCTAATTTTTAACACTTTAACCAAGATAGAACATGCCTCAGGCAAGAGTTACCTAGATAGAAGGTGATATCATTGTATGTTTTTATTGAATTCATTTTTATGGTGGTGATTTATCAAGGGATAGTGTGCTTTTCCAGGTAGAGCACTGATGTAAATTTTCTATGGTAAATAAACAGATTTAAGTGAAATAAAGTGACTGTATTTATTTATTTTTATTATTATTATTTATGCCTATAGCACTTGGTCTTCCTAAGTGGTCTCCCATCCAAGTACTAACCAGGCCCAACCCCGCTTAGCTTTTGAGATCAGACATCAGGCTTGTTCAGGGTGGCATGGCCATAGACCATGGACCATGGCTCCACTGGGGTGTGAACCCAGGACCTTCTGCGGGTAAAGCAGATGTGCTAACTGCTACACTATGGAATCACATCCTTAGAGTGACTCCATTTAAAGACAAACACTAATATAGTGATACAGATAGGAGAGAAGATTGGGAAATACTGGCGTACAGGAAGAAAAAAGATACTATATTGAGGAAAATAAAACCTGTAATTTTGGAGGGGAGAGGGAGATTTTTGTCACTTGCAACCCTAACAGCTATGAGGATGAAGGGAATGCACACATTCTCATCAACGAGAGTACTAGCAAATGGTCGGGGTACAAGCAGCCCAGTGTGTTCAGTGGAATGTAGCCCAGTGGAATGTAGACACAGGCCAGTCCTGAAGAGTAACTGAGCAAGTCTTGTTTGGCAGGACCTAAATGCCAGAGTGAAGTGTAAGGATTTAATTTGCTGGGCAAAGGGAGATGTTACGGTTTTTTGAGTTGAAAGGTGACTTTGTTAGAGCTACGCTTTGGAAAGATTGCTCTAGGAACAAAGGCAGTAAACACATTTATGGCTACATGTATTAAATTATCTTACTCTATGAAGCTGTCTAGGTGGAAAAGCTCAGATATAATCCTGGACACTAGAAGGGAGATGAAAATCTAGAGCCATTTCACAACTGTACAAGTAAGCAGTGCTTCTCTTTGGTTCCACATGCATAAACTTGACGTACAGAGACACAGTGTTTCTTTTCCTTTTAATAACCCAACTGGTGCCCAGAAAAATCTCCCACTGGCACAGTTTTCCAGGACATAGTCCACGTGACAGCTGGATTCTTTAGTTGCCAAGCACCCATTTTGTACAGAAGTCAGATTATTCACTTTCACTGTCTTCTGTCTTCTCCTCCTCTTTCCTCCCCCCTCCTTTTTTGGGCTATATAACTCTTCATTAACACCTATAAAGGAGGTTAAACATGGACAGAGAAAGGGAGTAAAGCTAAAATCAATCACTTTAACTGAGAGGTCCTGGAGAGCGAGTAAAGGTAAATTTAAAATATTCTACTAGCTTACGAAAATGCAGTGAAACTGTATTTGAAACTTCAAGAACTGAAATATTAGAACATTTTTGTCTTATGTCATTGTAAGTTTCAAGATCAAGGACTGTCCACTCCGTATCTTTAAGTGGTGGTAACTCCTAGCAAGCAGGTAGGGAGCACAGTTGTGAGTGACGCTGTAAATGCTGCAGATGTTCTCTTAACTGGTCTCCATTGAACTCTGAGATGAACCCATGTTTTCTATCTCTTCTGTAAAACGTCTTGATTGATTTCCGTAGTACACTAGATGTCTGCAACCCATAGATCACTCTCAAACATGCTCACCAACTTCTGCCTCCAGCAGCTAAGTTATATGCTTACCAGGAGTCAGTTACGTTTGTTTCTAAATATGTTAACGCCTGTTGTTATTAAGACTGTGCAATTATTAAATTATATGTAAATCAGTGAAAGGTAAGTATAAATAGAAAGAGTTCTTTCTATGAAAAATAAGTTGAATGTTTTGGAAAGAATTAGGTAATGGCAGTCAGGTAATCTTCTCAAATCAGATGTGAGTTAGATACTGTAAAATATTGGGGAGAAATAAAAAAAGTACATAAAACTCTTTCCTCAGATTGCTTCACAAGTATCTTTAAGTTCCCACTGACTATAAAGAAATTAAAGGTGAACATTACAGATGATGAATCATGAGTGGGAATCATTGAAAGACAGACGATCACAACATCAAACAGTATGCTTGTATTTAAAGAAAAGGTTTTGGACTAAAATTCAAGATCAACAAATGAGCATACATTTAATATTTCATGCTAAAAATACAATGGTCAAAATACGTATGCATTTAATGACCTCTTTCTGGATTGTTGAACCAAGCACTTGTCCCTCATACTGATCGCGTCAGAAGGTTTCAACAGTAATTATGCAAACTGAAGGGAAGGATACACATTTTTGGAAACTCCATATGAGGAAGACTTTGAGCATGAGGTCTCCCACTCTGAGCAAAGAGCCCCAGGCCAACCTGGTACAGAAGCTGTGGAGCCATCTGCCCTCAAGGGACTGTGAGGGTTTGGGAAGAAGGACATTAGTGATGATCACCATGGACTGAACACTACTGAGGGCCATTCTCCCATTTTCCAGGGACCCAGAAAGTCTTTAGATGTTTGTATGACCCTAAGCAGTTCTGGGAGAGGTCCCTAAAAATGCCCAAGATTGATTTTTTTGCTAGCCTTGTGGAATGGGAGCTGCAAGTCATAATTAATTTAAGTATCATAAAGTAAGGTATTTTTTTTCTTGCCTAATGAATGCTTATACCATTGGGGCAGGAATTGCATCTAATTTAGGTCTTAGAAACGTGCCTGCTACTTAGGAGGTATTCAATAAATATTAGAGGAATAAATTAATGTTATATGAGTTTGATAAAAAGAAAATGATGAGGCAGATAGATTCTTCTGTGGCTGTTCATGAAGGGCACTCTGGATGAGCGGAAGGGTCAGTAGTATTGGATTTTTACTGTTATGTTTTTTTCTTCAGAAATCACAGGTTTGATACATGTGAATCCGAGACCCAGATACTTCTCTCATATCATCAACCATGTATCATAGAAAAGAGAGAGAGGGAGATTAATTTTCCTGAGGTGTTGGAAAGGCCCTCAGAATGAAGTGAGAAGAGGGGTTAAGAATTAGAAGCCTGTGATACAAAATTTCTGGAAGCACAGAGCTTGAGAAGCAGAGAGGAACATGGGGTGATCTAGTTTGATTTTTTTCATCTCCCAGACAAGGAAACCAAGCCCAGAGAGGACACATGATTGGCCTAGGGTCAAACATCTACTTAGTGGCTGAGCTGGGGTAAGAACATAGCCATGTCTCTTCTACTGTACTTTCCATTACAAAATTCTGATTATGAGACTACGAGTGATAAGGAAAAACAGCACATAAATGAGCCGAAGGGGAGGGGAGGGAGAATAATAGGGTCATCATCTCACTGTATCAGACAAGTTCCGTGTCAGATGAGGGGACAGGTAGGGCTGACCAGCCATCCCTACTGACCAAGAACAAGCGGACAATGGAGAGAGGAACATTTCAAGTTATGTGAATGTATTGGAAGTTCCAAGATGATTCTTTATGAATAAAGGAAACAAACTAATAGAGACTTTAATCAATTAGGAATATCGCATGTTTTTTCTATTTCCAGTACTTCTAAGAGTGCTTGACATAGCCTTTCTACACTCAATTGTAAGAAACAATGAGTGCTCATCCTGCAGCAAACCAAGTCCACAATATATCCCTTCAACAGTACTTACACTGTGGCTCCAGTGTCCTTCCTCCAAGTTGGAGGGTTGAGTAGATTTTGCTGTCATCTTGTGTTAATAACCAGGCTAAAGAGGGAACTGGAGCCTGTCTCTATTTAAAATTTTGATACTTTGATACTTTGCATTAATTTTGATTTTTAAAAATATCGTATTACAATATTTCTCTTGATTGCTGAGTTTTTGTATCCCCTTGAATTTTGCACCTTGCTAATCTCACCCTAATCCCAGCCCTGTATTGGGTTTTAACTTGGTCATACCCTCTGGAAAGATGGAAAAAAATTTCTCCTTTCACTTTCTTTCCTATCTTCTCTCTTGCTTTATGTGGTGGTTGTTTTGATCCATGTTCATGTAAATTAGAGCAATAAAAACAAACTCCTAACAAATTGACCTTTTTACCCTGATCAGCAGTAGACAGGAGAGGTGTAAATGATCTGAATATCACAAGACTTAAAGTAAATAGTTAACTGGTTTTTTTGGAGAAAAGACAAAACCCTAACCAGAGACACAATCGCTTATTAA